CTTCTTTCTCCCTACCTTTTCCATTCCAAGCTTATTATTTTATCTTTCTTTCCACCACCACCACCTCCCTCCTAATTTCCTTTTCCATGTCTCTTTGGGCTTTTCTTCCAACCTATGTATTGGTGCAGCCAAACACCTTCTTCCTCAATGCACATCAGGGTCAATCATCTTTGTGAAGTTGATTATGAAGTCCTCCTTCCCTCCAGACACCTTGTCAAGATGAGTTCGTTGAGATGCTGCCTTCAAGCCACAAATGAAGCCACTGCAGACTGAGGGAAGACTTTATTTCTTGCTGTGCCTCCTTGCACACCAGCTCCCACAGATGTTGACAAAATGAAAAAAAAGAACTGTCTGATTGTCTCTCACTTGGCTTGAACTGGGACAGTAAGACTCCTCTGACCATTTTCAGACCATTATTGATGAGCTCAGCATTCCTCCAGCTGACACACCAGTGAAGATCACAGATGATCGCAACAACACAAAACACAACCATCACTTTTTGTCTTTACCTAACAAATGGCTTGAGAGATGGAAATATCCCATGCCAGCAACATGCTCAGTTCAGCCAAACTGGGGGCAGAAAAATAGCCTGAAACATCATGGTCTTCCTGTTAGATTTGCTATAAGAATTCATTCATAAATTCAAATGTCCCCATGACTCCATCGTGATGCTGAAAACATTTGCAAAACAGGAATGAGCATGGATAATTCAGGGCCTGTTATAGGCTCAGGAAAACTGAAAGAGCTCGTGGTATATTTTTATTTTCCTGCAAGGATCTGTTTGCTTACGTGCTTTAGGCCTTCCTCTTAAGTCAGCCATACAGACATTCATTTGCCTGGAGTAATCCCAGAGTGGGAAATAACTACAGAAATTATCAGGGAGCCAGAAAAATGACCAGAGTCCCAGCTCCTCTGGGAGCAGGGCATCGCTGCAGGACAGGAGAGGGAAGGAAGGAAGGAAGGAAGGAAGGAAGGAAGGAAGGAAGGAAGGAAGGAAGGAAGGAAAAGAAAGAGAGGGATGGAGAGAAAGAGAAGGATGGAGAGAAAGAGAGGGATGGAGAGAGATGGAGCGGGGGGGAGAGGGAAAGGAAGAAAGGAGGAAAGGAAGAAAGGAGGAAAGGAAGAAAGGAAGAAAGGAAGAAAGAGGAAGAAAACATGAGAATGAAGGAAAGAAGGAAAACAAGCAATACAGGAAAGATAATTAAAAATATGAGAGGAGAACAGAGACACGCTCACCTAGCAAAAAAACAGCAAAAAGAGGAAATATTGGCTGGTCTTCACATCTTTGAACATTATTCGGGGCCAAGACTTGCTCCCTGCCTAAAGAAACTCCTGGGTAGGCAGGCGTCATCTTTTGCCCCTCACGTGGCCTCCCACCATCAATGGCCCTCCCCTGTCCCCCCTGTGGAGCTGTTTCTGTCATCTCCTCTGCCCAGACCTTCTCCCCTGCTGGGCTCCCTCTGAAATGCCTGGCACAGCTAGAGAAAGGGCTTCACCACTCCTGGGTGCAGGAAGGGGTGCATTGGGGTGCACCATTTCTCCACACCCATCTCCAGGCCCAGGTGTTCACCATGCCTTGTGGCTACCACAACTGCTACCTCTTCGCTAAGCCCAACTGCTGGCACAAACACCTTTTTTCAAGGGTGTTGAGCAGCTCCAGCATCACTGCCAATGATGCCTCGGGCTCCCTGGCTGGCCCCTTTCACTCTGTCCACGTCTCTCTCCAAATTTCTACCTTCATCCCCAGTTTCCCCCCTATGTTAGCACTTTCTGAGGTCCAGATGTCTTCTGCTTTTGTAAAGTCCTTCTGCTTTCAAACACGATCCTCCCAGTGTCTTTTCTTTGGTCTGTAGAGTATGAAGCTCTCCATCAATTACTAAAATAAGAGGCAAAATCATTACTAATAAATGTTTATGATTGCATGAAGAATCATGACAAGTTATAAATTTTGCAAGTGTTATATTACGCAGTGCACATCTAACACACAGTCCATGGAGATTCACCTCCCATAGCCAAGAAGACCTACATTTTCCAAGGAGGTATTTGACTGTCTCCATCTTGGATATCTGAAGTAGCTATTGAGTTGCAGAGCATACACTGATGCACGTTCCTTAGCAAAACTCAGCTAATACAAACCAGACCCTTCTCCAGTACATCACCAGCATTCTAACTGGGTTATCAAAGCCTTTCAGTACAGACATGGCAGTGGGGCAGGCAATGCACACTACATTATCTCTGATAAGTCTGTAAAGAGTTGCTTCTTGAAGGGAAGGAGGGTGTCTGCTTCCAGCCCACTGGCAACAGAGCGTGTCTAAAGTATCATTCCCTGGGAAGGGGTTGGTTACATCCACATTTAAAATTTATATCTAAACCATTTTTTTATTTTTCTCCATGGCAGGAAAATGGGCAGAGGAAATACGGAGGCCCACCACCTGGCTGGGATGGCCCTCCACCGGAGAGGGGGTGTGAGATCTTTATTGGGAAACTGCCCCGAGACCTCTTTGAAGATGAACTTATACCACTGTGTGAAAAAGTAAGACTTTATGTCAGGTAGTTGTATTGCAGAGGTTAGTGATGATCAATGCTGCATTTCAAGGCTGAACTGGAGATGATTTGGCCCAGACTACTGGTGGAGCTCTGACACGATATAGTCAAGGAAGCACCCGGTCTTGCTTAAACACCTCCCGCCTTGCTGACAAACCTTTTTCTTTCTATTTGTAGATTGGCAAAATCTATGAAATGAGAATGATGATGGACTTTAATGGCAACAACAGGGGCTATGCCTTTGTGACCTTCTCGAATAAACAGGAGGCGAAGAATGCAATAAAGCAACTCAATAATTATGAAATTAGGTAAGCGTGGCAAACACCTTCACATCAACTTTAAATCATATATATTAATCTACTTTGTTATGTAAGGCATATTTTTCCTTGCAACCCAGAGGAAGGTTATTTAGATACCTAAGCTTTAAGAGGACATCACCTCTTGTCTCCCTGTGCAGTCATTGCTTTATGCCGTAATACAAAGGCAGTATGTAGGATTCATCAGAGCCAAAAATGTTTTGCTGGAAATTTCTTCCTTACAAAAAAAAAAAAAAATCTACCAGAACATTGGAAAAAATATTTTGCTTTGGATCAAATTAACTTTTGCCTAACCATTGCTGTTTATTTCATGTTCCCCTCTGTGCTGTTTTTTGTTGATTTATTCCTGTTAACTGTCTCTTGTGACTTATACTGCAGATATGTTCTGGGAGACAGAGAGATTGCAAAAAATGGTGAAATAGGATGGAAACCAATTGGCAAAACAGTGACATTTCCTAATAGATAGGAACAGAAAAAGCCCTCATGTTTGTGACTAAAAATTGGGAACAAAACACCCAGAAATCAACAACATATGGGGCCATCAATATGTTTTGTTTTGATTTCAACCACACGTAATATTTTTTTTCCAGTTCAATGTGGGGTGAGTAGATGCCTTTGCTTAGAAGCATTTAGAGATAAACTATTCTGGCAATTTTATGGCTTTCATTTTTGTTTTTAATAAAAAAAGATGGGTTGTGAATTGCTTTACTAGCAACCCTAAGGGTGACCAGGTCACGAGGCACACAGGGAGGGCTTGGAAATGTGATTTTTATAAGAGGTTGGAAGGTCTCAAAGGTCAGGCTTCATCCACCTCCAACTCCTCTGCTTGCTTCCCTTGGTCCAAAGACTCCGCTAAAGAAGTTTTTAACTTCTTAAGACCTGCAAGAGGTACTGGGACCACAAAGAGGTGAGCAAAGTGCATGTAAGGAAATGTTTACTTTGGGGTCTGCACAACAGTTGGCATCAGTAAGCCCCCAAATGGGCTCCATGACAAGGGATTTTCTTTCCCCAAATCCTCAGTCATGAGGCCCAATGGTGACCGGGAAGCTACAAGTCACTGGTGAACACAACAAATCCTGGCTTATACTGGTGGCAACACAAGAGTCACTGTTGTGACCTGGGTGGTAGGTACAGATGCCTGGTAGCAGCCTTTTTTTGCAAATAGCAAAAGGGTGAATCCCAGGAAGCAAAAGCAAAATTTGGCTTTGGTTTCTCCCTGATCTCAAATCCTTCATTTCAACTGTGCTGCCTTACTTTGCTGTCAAATTTAGCAGAATGGCAGCCTTCACATTAGCTTTTTTATTGAGCAAGACCACTTGAATATCACAAATGACATATACTGCAGGAGCAGGAGGCCTTGTGTTTGACCTTGTGTTTTGGGACAAGAGGAGGGGTTTATTTTATTTTTTTCCTCTCTTTGAGAACTGATCCTGACTCCTGACAAACCAGCAATGCTTTTTATACTCAGGAATGGGCGTCTCCTCGGAGTCTGTGCTAGCGTGGATAACTGCCGCCTGTTTGTGGGAGGGATCCCCAAAACGAAGAAGAGGGAGGAAATTTTAGCAGAGATGAAGAAAGTCACAGACGGAGTTGTGGATGTCATTGTCTACCCTAGTGCAGCCGATAAAACCAAAAACCGGGGTTTTGCTTTTGTGGAATATGAAAGCCATCGGGCAGCAGCCATGGCCAGAAGAAAATTGCTCCCAGGTTAGTACAGATGGTGAAGGTGGTAAGGATGGCTTCATCTCAGGGGTCACCTATGTACATGTTGTGCTGCAGTGAGACCGAAGTCTCCAGAGGACCCAGCAAACACTGCTGGGTTTTCTCCTCTTGGCTGCTAGAGACACTCATAGCAAAGGTGGGACCCCAATACACCATGGCTGGCTGATGGAGTCACCCTGGCTCTGGAGTACAGGGTGGACAAATCACTACAGATCCTGATGTAGATCCATGCTCATTATCCATGCTTATTATCATTTAGGAGCCTGAATTTATTAAAAATACAGCTAGATGGATTTAGCGATGTGTACCCATACAGCTCTGTTGTAGGATATGTATTATCCTGTGGTTATCTTGGGTTATATATAAAATATAGCCTCAACTATGGCCTCTCGGAGAGAATCACTCAGGAAAGCACCCAAGAACATATTCAGTTATGAGAATGTACTGAGGATGTTCCTGAAAATGGGTATTTTCCATGTGGGAAGAAAACTTTAAATGAGAAGTTGCTTTAGGATTTAAACAACATAAGGAATGTCTACGCAATTAGCGCTGGGGACATTCAAAGACCATTGTGAAGCAGAGAGAGGTTTGGCAGGTGTTAGATGAAGGAGTCACTTAACATTAAGTGCATTTGCAGTGATTTCACTGATTTTCTCATGCTTTCTTATGCTTGGCAGCTCCAGCACTGCTTTGTTGAACCCAGCTCACTTGCTGGTGAAAGAATACAATAAACCTTCTGTTTTGAGACTTGTTCATAAACCACCAGCCGCCTTTCACTCTTTCTATATGACAGCCCATGAAACATCCCAAGTAATTTAAATCATTTTTTCTTATTGTTAAAAAATGAGTGTGATTTCAAGCGCTGAATACACTTAGCTATTGTGGTATATCTCATACTGACTACTTTTCCTTTTATTCTGCATTTTCTGCATCAGTTTAGCATCTCCCTGATTGTGGGAGCACATTCAGCTGGTCTGTGCTTCAGCACAACTTTTCCATGGTTTCTATATCGAGAACGATGGAAGGAGCAGGCACAGCCACAGCTGCCAATGGCAGCCTTGAGGGAGCGGAGCACTTGAAATCCTGAGCAAAGACAGGGAGACAGATGGAATGAGCACGTAGGCCTGAACAGACATGTGCAATGCGCTAGTGATTTCCAATTTAGGGACATCTCGGTAAACAGTTTGGGGAATTTCAAAGGCCTGAGTAGGAGCCAGAGCCTTCTGATGTTGCAAACATATGGGAGGAACTTGAAAAAAGTTTCAAGCCAGAACTGAATGTGTCTCCAGCTGATGCATTGGATGAACGTGAGATTGAATATCATTATCAAGACACTTCCTATACTCTGAACCTCACTGCTCTTTGAGGGAGTTTTGTAGAAGAGACAGAATGCTCAAAAAGGAAGATGCTTTTTATGAAAACTTTGTTCTGTCTCCTGATTAAACAAGAGGGTGGAGGAAGACTGGGTTTTAGCAAGAGGCTAGTGCAGGCACCAAGCTTAGCTCCTTGCTGCAAGTCAGCCAGGTCATTATTTCCACTATTGAACAGAAAATGGCCATTCAGAAAGGGGCACACGGCATTTCATTTCAGCTGGCTGCCATTAGCAACCATCTCTCTATTTCTGGTCACTAACAGCTAAGTCAGACTGGGCAGTGCTGAAAGCTGAATATCAGCCCAACCTCGCTCCACAAATCCTGAGTCATTCAGGAGCCTTCCTAGCAGGAAGCAGCCTCTTTCCATTTAGTTTCATAGAATTATAGAATGTTTTGGGTTGGAAGGGACCTTAAAGATCATCTAGTTCCACCCCCCTGCCATGGGCAGGGACACCTTCCACTAGACCAGGTTGCTCAAAGCCCCATCCAACCTGGCCTTGAACACTTCCAGGGATGGGGCATCCACAACTTCTCTAGGCAACCTGTTCCAGTGCCTCACCACACTCACAGTGAAGAATTTCTTCCTTATATCTAATCTAAATCTACCCTCTTTCAGTTTAAAGCCATTAGCCCTTGTCCTATCACTACATGCCCTTGTAAAAAGTCCCTCTCCAAGCTTTCTTGTAGGCCCCCTTCAGGTACTGGAAGGCTGCTATAAGGTATCCCTGGAGCCTTCTCTTCTCCAGGCTGAACAAACCCAACTCTCTCAGCCTGTCTTCATAGGAGAGGTGCTCCAGCTC